CTCCTCCTCAGTCCAGATATGGTCACTTCCTGTTCACTGGTTGCAGACAACCAAGATGGCGACGCCAAAACACCGAACTCGAGGCTTCAAAACATCAGTCCACAAACCAACGAGTGACGTCACGACGACTCCGCCCACTTCTTATATACAGTCTGCGGTTGTAGTCTGCTACTGCCGTTCATAGTGGGAACGTAGCATAATGCTCCTCGTTCATTTGTAACATGAATTAAAAGATGAAAATGTGATCTTGTGTGTTCAGGAGCAGCGCTTCCTCAGCTGCTCGTCCCTGAAGAAGGACATCAGCCTCCACTGGCACACGCTGACCATCTTCCTCTGCACGGCGTTGTTCCTCAACGCCTCCGCCGCCGTGCTCGTCTCCAGCGGCCTGTCTCTCCGGAGGCTCCTGGGCAGCCGCAGGGACCCCGAGCTCTGGGCGGACGCCCGGCGTGTGGCTGTGAGCGTGGCGGCCGTGACGGTGGCCTACGTGCTCAGCTTCGTGCCCTACCACGTGGTCCGCACGCCGTACACTCTGACCCAGACCAGAGTCATCACGGACTACCCCACCACGAGGCGGCTGTTTCTTGGGAAGGAGTCCACGCTGCTGCTGAGCGTGTTGCACCTCTGCTTCGACCCGCTGCTCTTCTTCTACCTCTACGCGCCTTTCAGGAGCACTGCCCGCCGGATGTACCGATGTGGCGGGAAGCGGACGGGCGGCGGCGGCGAGGAGGAGGAAGAAGAACGGGCTGCAGAAGGAACGATGGAGGCTGCAGGAGGACGACGTGTAGACACAGATATTCATGATCAATATCAAATATAGAATTACAGTATGTAAACAAACACACAATACATGCTTAGCCTAGCTTAGCACAAAGACCGGAAGCATATGGAAACTGCTAGCCTACAATCACACGTTTCATCAGCTCCCGATGTGGACAACAAAAACTATTTTTGAAATGTTATTTAATCTTATTTAATCTTTAACTTTCAGAGAAACTGGAGTAGAACAGACCTGCTGTATGATCTGAATTATGATTTACTACAAACACACATTAAAATGTTGTTTATCAATGTGTGACTCCAACCTTTTTCAGAAATCTTCATTGAAAAAAACAACCAATCAAATAGAGAAATATGAATAGAGTTCAGCGCGTCATTATGAATATGTGACCAGCAGGCGGCAGCAGAGATCCGTGAGCCTCCATCAGTGACCGTAAACTTTACAACAACTTTAGATTGTTTCATAGAACACGCTGTCACCTGATCAACATGCAGAATGTATTCAAACAATGTGAGAGAAAGAAAAGCTCTGACTAAAATACAATGATCATACAAATAAAATCTGTTAAAATGACATGTTTAAAAGTGAATCATTTGATATTAATATGAATATAATATGTCATTGCAACATGAAATGTTTTTTAAACCTTTTTAAACTTTACATTGTTTAGTGTCTTCATAGTGTCGTTTTCTGTCTCTTCGGGCTTGTTGCTCATCTATCTGATGCGATGTCTGTCTTTGCAGGTGTTTCGCATTTTTGTATTTGTTTTAGTTCCTTTAGTGTCTCTTTGTTGTGGTGTTGTGTCTCTTTGTTGTGGTGTTGTGTCT